TTTCCCCGAAACCGTCCACCCGAAATTCCACAAACCAAAGTGAGATGTGTCCGGACATGCTTCACGCTGCTGCAGCACTGTTGAAGACGACGATTCAGGTTCTGCCTAGTGTCTCCAGGGATCTCGTGTGCCTGCGGCGTTCGCAACGTCATTACTCAGACCTGCGAGGCCATGCAGACGTGGGGCAGCTTTATGAGCCCCTTTGCTGCACCGTACATGTATATGTATGTGTACTCGTATGTAAAAATGCATCCATGTATGCAAACAGATACACACACACTAATATATACAGATATTTATTACCTACACATAAATCTGTACATACACACGTATGTCTATGTTCATGCATATGTATAGGTACAGGTAGATGTGTATGTATGCATGTGCATGTATGTATGTGTGCGGTTGTGTCTGCATCTCTGTGTGTTTCTGTGTGTGATGTTGTGTCCGTGCGCGTGTGGGCGTGGGTGCGTGTGTGTGTGTGTGTGTGTGGGTGCGTGTGGGTGCGTGTGGGTGCGTGTGGGTGCGTGTGGGTGCGTGTGGGTGCGTGTGGGTGCGTGTGGGTGCGTGTGGGTGGGTGTGTGGGTGTGTGTGGGTGTGTGTGGGTGTGTGTGGGTGTGTGTGGGTGTGTGTGGGTGTGTGTGTGTGTGTTGTGTGTGTGTGTGTGTGTGTGTTAGTGTGAGTGTGTGAGTGTGTGACTGTGTGTGTGTGTGTCAGTGTGAGTGAGTGAGTGAGTGAGTGAGTGTGTGTGTGTGTGGAATTCCTGTTTCTAAGGAAGATTTCCTCTGAAGACCGCTTGAGATACAGATTGTTGTCAAATGCAGGGGGCAGTGGCCCACGCAAGAGTCCACTGCCAACGAAGCTACTCTTGAGTTGGGAGGATATCCAGGCTGATCACCTGGACGTACCTGCACTGATGTCAAAAGAAGACATCTGAGCGAGCACCTAGGATTGGGAATCTTGATGAACGTGTGTAACTAGCTCTGTTCTCGTTCTGCAATGTACTCTCGTGTACTGCTTGACACAGTTGGTAGAAGAAGCTATGTGCGTGCAGATGAATCTGGAAACACCTGAGACGTTCCGAAGCTCTGAAGACCACCTCTATCAACGAAAGTTGAGTATGGAGAGTGCACAATTCGAAGCGTGAAGAGAAGGATGTTGGCAAGACAACCAGCTCAGACTGGGTATAGGTGTGTGTGTGTGTGTATGCGCACGTGTGTGTGCATGCACACGAAGCAACCTGTCAAGCTTACTGTCTAAATGGTGTTGTAATTGTTCTTTCGACGTTGCCCTGCAATGCAGGCTTTGTCCTTGCTCGGTAAGAGGGAAAAATGGTGAGGTAATGTGAATTTGGGAACGCAGTTAATGCTATGTCAGCGAGATGCATGGCATAGTCTTCACGTCCCATTAGACTCGACACCTGGGCTCCAGATCCACGCAACATGAGGGGTCGAGGGCGAAAATCAACAGAAGCTCGTAAAGGCCGTTGTCTCACGTCTCTGCCAAAGCCAAGGCTATGTGGATATTTGTCTCACTCAGTTGCTGAAAGAAGAAGGTCGCCTCTTGGCTTAAGCTTGGAGCCCCGTCACCCGAAAGGATGTCTCAAGGTCTTTTTGGATCCCCAAAGGCCTAGGCAGCGGAGTGGACCCGACGTTGTTGCCTGTCCTTTACTTATAAGCTAAGGCAATACGGCTTTCAGAATTTCGGTCAAGATCTCGCCACACCGCTCATGAACACGCACGACCTACCAGCAAAACTGGTCACGTTTAAGAGGGCCGGCGGTGCTACATGTAGTGTTCTGAAGACCATTTGCGAAGGGTAGTCTACCGTCTATCGCATAGTACTTGCGTCTGTATGTATTTATGTATGACATAATACAATACATGTAAACATAATATAATATTATATATATATATATATATACATACATATTTCTATATGTATATATATATATACTGACACACACACACAAAACTGTATGAATCTAACTAGTTGATATAGGAACCTGAATATTTTGGAGTTCTATTCCTTGCCTGTGCTGCTAGAAATGCTTCTGCACCCAAAACCTGTTCTAATTGTAAGGCCCTACATTCTAGAATCCTTCTAGAAGCCCTATAGGACCTATGTGCGGACCTATAGTACATTATAGGACCCTGTAAACGATCCCTAAAGGAACCCTACTCTGATTATCAAGGCCCCTACATTCTAGAACCGTGATAGACCCGGTAAAGGAACCTTAAAGGAACCCTGTTGTCTTATTAAGATCACTTGTTCTTTCCTTGGGATCTTGGAGTTTCAGTGCACCAACGGTCTGAAACGAATTGGCTGCGGCCGTTTCATCAGAAAGCTGTTGGAGATAATGGGAGGGTTTAGGGTTTGGGGGTAGGTTAAGGGTTTACGGCTGGCAGGCAAAACGAACCCTACAATCAACCCCGAATCCATAAAAACGACCCGTCAGCCGCTACAGGCGAAATGCCAGTGATGTCCGCTGAGTCGTCACGATCTCGATGTACATCACAAGTCTCTGCATTTTCCGGGGTCTCGGGCTGACTTAGATTCAGAGCTCAGAGTTCGGGCCGACAGCATTTTTAACAGGGTCGTGTTGCAATGTGTGAGTGTGTATATATGTACCAACACATAAGGACAGGTATGCACAGATGCATATGGTGATTTATTTGTTTGTTTATGCATCTACTTATTTAGTTGGCAGTACTTGGCGAGCTGTTTATTTAAATATACAAGCATGTATCTGCCTGTGGCTATTCAATAGGACTGTACACTGCAATAACGGTTTCGCATATCAACGGGGTCCGTAGGTGTAGAATGAGGGCACGGATTCATGTTGGTACTCAGGTGTTGGGAAATGTTGCACGACCAGTGTTTTGCAGTTGTCAGATCTAGGGGCTCTGCTGGTCGCATCGTGTTTTGTAGCGAAACCGACACGCCGGCCAGAGGAGCCGAAGTCCAAGCGCTTGAGCCTTAAGCTCCAACTCAAGCCAAAATCCGACCCTACCGAAGATTGATTACCCTTGGAAGCGGTCGTTCTTGAGTAAGTCGCGATCAAATAAGCACCTCAGATGAGAGTTTTACTTGTGTACTACAGAACCAGATGCTGCAAAGTCTTGCCGGCATTTTGCCGAAAGAAACGAAGCCCGAAAGACACAACAACAAACAGCTAGGTCTCAGGCTTACCAGGGCTTTGGGGATTGGGGTTAGGGTTAGCCTACGGATGCAGGGAAAAGGGACCGGGTCTTCGTTACAGACTTCTCTTGATCTTACAGAGTCAGGCCGGGATCCTTGAGATCAGTTAGTATATAGTAGGATGCCGAGGTTTCTGGTATCCGCCCGTGAAGCCGAAGCAAGACAGCTCTTGGACGATTAGGGCGTGGAGAATTTCGGTGTGGCCGTACCGAGGGTTTTCTCGTGCGTTCTGGTAATGAAAGCAGAGCTTTTGGCCAGAGGTACCAGCTCCAGAGCCGACTGCTACAAGTCAATAACCGGTGTCCATGTAGTTTGTCTGTGTGTAAAACTATGGGAAGGGCACTATAAGGTTGCTTTCGGTCCTGGTTCTTTCGCAGCCGACCACCCTAGTATTTAAACTGCAACATTTAGGCCACAGTAGATTCGCGACGGGGAACAGCCAGGTGTCCGGTGCCTCAAGGCTTACTTGTTAATTTTACTCTGCATGGACGAACGGTTAGAACTTTAGGAGCCCAGCAACGAGGCCTGCTGCAAAAGGAGCCCCAGCATGTTTCACCGACGTTTGCCGGAGGCAGGTCGCGCGATGTTTTTTGAAACGTAGTCGCAGTGAAATCAAAGCTGAGTTGGAGGAATGTCCGATCTACGGTCTTTTTTGCCTCGTCGGAGACTCACTCATCTTGGGACAAGAGTTCGGGGACTAGCCCTGGGGAGCTGATGCTTTATGAGGTTTTGTTGCTGAGCCACGGATTCTGCCAAAGTGCACGCTTCAAGCTTCTGCAGTTCTTGCCGTTTTAGCCCTACACTTCCAAAAAGTTGATGGAACCCCAAACTCTAAGACTTGGACATGGTCTCACAAGTTGAAGGAAGCATTCTTTAACGGGAGCTTCTGCCAAGCAGGCGGGGAATGGTATGTTACTAGCAGCTACTAGCACACGTGGCAGCGAGGCAGCTTCGCGAAAAGGGCGCTCAAGAATGCCGTCATTGCGAGAGACATGATCTAGCAGGACCATTCACACAAGAATAAAGCCATCAAAAGAAGGAGGAGCAGCCAACCGGTGAGCAATCATTGTCGCTGGCCGTTCACTGTCGCTGCAAGTTTACGAATTTTTCAGGACTGCTCTTCACTGTTCGCCGTCATCGGGCTTTACACTGGGACAGGGACTTTCGAACTGATGATCCGTTTTGCTATCTCATATTTCCAACTTAAAGTTAGATCGGCAAACAAGACGTTGGGCCCAGGAGCATGAGAATTGTCCCATGCGCTGCAATCTTGAACTTGATCTTATAGTCCGGCTTCCCTCGTCCCGGAACCTTCAAGAGTTGAGCTCTGCAGCTAAGCTTCAAATGCCGATGCAATGAAGATCTGCTTCCAAGGGAAGCAGAGTCGTTTTGCAAGCCGGGGCATTTTGGTGGTGAGGGCTTCAAGGGTTCACTTTTTGACTACTGAAGTGCTTGGGGTGTAGCGTGTCCGGTCGTAGATAAGCCAGACAATGAAGACACAGATGAAGTTGGTGGTGCCTATATCAGAGTCAGTCTTGTAGTTGACGTGACTCGCACTCACAATGATAATATCAGTGGCCGCGTGGCCATAATATCCTGAACAAGACCTTGCTGCAGGGCGGAGGATTGTTTGTTGAGGCCCGGCCTTAGGCATCCAGTGTCATGCCGGCTGGGGTCTGAGATTTGCCCCAGATTCAAATTCGAGGGAGAGGGAGACAGGGATCGCAATTGCCGGAGAAAGGGTAACGAAGAATTCTGCCCTGCGCCCGAATCAAGTCGCCCTGCAATACGTCCGCCAGATTGTTGCAGCAGCGCAGTCCCGGCCCTCAGATGAATCAACAGAAGATTGCAGAAGGTGAGTGGGTGTCGAAGTAGTAAGTATAGTAAGCTTGTTCCGATTTCGTTTAACTTAACCTTGGGTGCAGCAAGTGGACGTCTCTTCAGGCAGAAAGTTGATTCCGGGCAGCAAGCATCACTTGAAATACGGATTGTCTCACTTGGACCTCTTCGGGGTACAGGTTGACTCTAGGTGCCGAGGGGGGGGGGGGGGGGGGGGGGGGGCAACTCTTTGGCTGCAGGGGCTCTTCTCACGACTTCACACTGAACCCCGAAGATGGAAGTATAGTGGTCACATCATGCGTGCTTCTTTAGATTGTAACAATACCCCCCCCCCTCGCGCTTACCATGGACTGCTATCAGATATCACCTGCCTCATCGCCGTGGCCTTCAGGCTGCAGCTGGGCAAGCGCCGGGAGTCCTTGCGCACTGCGAAAGCGGCCAAGGAGGCACCAGGGGTTCTAATCGTCGCCCCAAGTACCGTGGTCACGAGTAGCAAAGGCCAGCGCCAATTTAACGCAGTCGAGTTAGCATATACAAGAGCATGACATAGTATAACATCTTACAACGTGTACATACACAACGTAGACATATATATGTGTATATATGTATATGTGTATATACGTATAAATATACAAATATATACGTATATGGTCCCCCCCCATGTACCTACCCTTTTCCTGCCTTTCCTGCCTTCACCAGATTGGCCACGGGGGCTGATTGCCCTAGGATGTGAGACAGAACGACGTAGGTCAGTTGCGCAGCCCCTGAAGTCCGACTTGTCAAAATGCTCTCTCGAAAGTACGACTTGCCATACACGGAGCCAAACATTGGAAAGCCAATACAAACTATAAAAACAACAAACAAGATTCTAAAACTATCTGCAGGCATGACACCATCCGGACGAGATAGTTTGAAAAACATTGTCTAGTACTAGTACTAGTACTACTGCTACTACTACTACTACTACTCCCACCACTTCTACTACGACGACTCCTCCTCCTCCTCCTCATACTACTACTACTACCACTACTACTACTACTACTACTACTACTACTACTACTACTACTACTACTACTACTACTACTACTACTACTACTAGTACTAGTACTAGTACTAGTACTAGTACTAGTACTACTACTACTACTACTACTACTACTACTACTACTACTACTACTACTACTACTACTACTACTACTACTACCACTACCACTACCACTACCACTACCATTACTGCTACTCCTCCTCCTCCTACTATTACTACTACCACTACCACTACTGCTACTCCCCCTCCTACTACTACTACGACGACGACAATACTACTTGTGCTTCTACTACGACCACTCCTACTACTACTACTACTACTACTACTACCACTACTACCACTACTACCAATACTACCACTACTACCACTACTACCACCACTACCACTGCTACTGCTACTGCTACTGCTACTGCTGCTACTGCTACTGCTACTACTACTACTACTACTACTACTACTACTACTTCTACTTCTACTTCTACTACTACTACGAAGACTCTACTACTTGTGCTTCTACTGCTGCTGCTGCTACTACTACTGCTAGCACTACTATGTTATTGCTGCTGCTGCTGCTGCTGCTGCTACTTCTGTCACTGCCGCTGTTGTTACTACTGCTCCTGCTGCTGCTGCTGCCAAGTGCCAAGCTAGGTTCTCGTACAGGGTCTAGTGCGAAAGTTCCGGTAAGTGTCGGTAAAGGCGGACTAGCCAGATCTAGGCCAGGGCTCAGTGTAGAAAGCTCAAGATGTCAACCTGTAGGTTTTATGGGTCCGCAGGCAGGGCTGGTAATTTCAGGTAAGGTACCAGGAAAAACCGTTAAACACAAGCAAACCCACCTGCAAAGCTGCGGAGGCTCTCGGAGCCAAGAGAAACGACAGCCTCCTAGCTCGGGCACTCCGCGACGAGGGCGCGGCGTGTCGTCCCTGGTATCTGGGAAAACCATGAGTTACCATTCGGGCTCCTGATTTCCGTTTCAAGTTTTATAGAGCAAAACGGGTCGATACAATAACCCTTTGGAAGAAGCAGGTTATGGTAGTTCCAGCAAAATGGCTCTAGATGTGAGGTTCGTTTGGCGAATTTCGGATTCGGAGGAAGGAAGGGTTGACCCTCAGGCCGCCCAATAACTGGATTTTTCAGGCCTTTGCATGTAGGCCGAAGGCTGTGCTTCGGATATGTTAGCGTCTATGTTTTCCCAAAGTCTTTTCTCGACCAAGAAGTCGAAGTGCGGGGGCGGCGGTGTTGACGAAGGATTGCTGCATCTGAGGGCAACGCATGTCATGAGCAGTGCTTCAGAAACCCGAATGGCATTTACGGATGATATAGAGGGCTCAACTGTCTTAAGCTGAGATTGCTCCAGGCCCAATGTGGGATGGAGGGCTTGAGGGTGCAACATGCGCTGAAACGCCGAGTTTGGGCTTTCGCTGCCGAGGTTGGCAGTGTTGGAGGATTACGACGAGGCCATCACCCGCTGGCGCCCTGGTACATGTGTGAGTAAAGGTATCATTTCGTCCGTGAGCCAGCTCGAGGTGGGGATTCCCAGTTTGCTAGATGTTGTAGGTTGTTGTTCCGAGTCTGTTCTCCTTGTATTCAGCAAGTGTAAAGACGACTCGCTCGGACCGGGCTGCTGGACAACGAGGCCTGCTGCAAAAAAGGTTGTTGTTCCGAAAAGTAGGCACACAGTTTGTGCGGATCATGCGTTTTCGTGACGGAGTTGTCAGTCCCTAAGACTCTGAAGTGAGCAGCTGTTCGCCTGCCAGGCTTCCTGAAGACGTCGTGTGGAGAAATTCCAGTTCAGGATGCTTGCTGTTTTTGTTCCAGAAAGGCAAGTTTCATTGGATGGCCTTGACAACAGCTGGCAATCCGAGTGTCCCTTGATGGGCTGACGTTGAGGCATCGGCCCGGAAACCTTCGGGACCCTCTCGGAGTTTCGGTTGTTTGCGATCCTTTGTGTCCTACCTCTTCAGGTCTCAAAGATGCAGCTAGCACGGCCGTCAGTGCCCGGCACCCAGGAGCGGGCTGTCGCCAGTGCTGGGGACATTCCTTGCCCTGCCTACGCCTGGACGGGGCCAATCCCGACGAGCCAGCTAATAAACCACCCCGAACCTTAAACCTGTCGGGAAGCAACAGCATCTGTCGATTTTGCAGGCTGGGGGTTTGGATCTCCGAAGAAGTATATAGCGAAGGGATTCAAAGGTTGCCTGGCATGTGGATCCGTATCTTTGTTCTGAGGTCACGTGCATCCTGTATCGTCCTGTCCTTTAGTCCAAGACAGATTTGGAGGAGCATGGGCAGTACTATAAGGCTATAAGGCAGCCCAGAGAAATCGCAGTCTCGGTTTGAGCACACCAGGACTTCTCAGAAATGACTCCCTCTCGCTACGCCCAGGCTGGCGACTTGGCCACTCAGGCGGCCGGGTCGTCTCGGGCTGTCGCAGTACTGCCAGAAGCTACCAGTACGATGCTTGCTAGAGTCCGCTAGAGTTCTCAGGGCACTTCGGGTTGCAGGAAAGTCTTGCGGTCCATACGATTGGGGGCCAGGTGTAGGTGCTGCTGAACATGTGCGTGGCTTTGTGCCATTGTGGGGAAGAAGACTTCATCAGATCATCAGGTGAATCCTAGCCGATCGTGGACAGATGCGGGTCCTCGCGAGTCTAGAGTCTAGGGTTGCAGGGGGCGGTTGGAGGATGGTGCGACGGCAGATATCCGGCAAAGGACAGCATGCGCTGCCGTCAGGCCTCGATCAAGCGCTTCGAGGCGGACGTGCATATCAATCGCAGTAACTTCAAGGAGGTCCGAGCCCGAAGACGCCGGGCCTTGGGAGATGAAATTCTCATGTGCGCACCTTGTAAATTCAACTGGTCGTCGTCTGAGGCGCTGTCTGCTGCCAGGGATGCTTTAGAAATCTCGGAGAGGCAAGGCGACAAGTGCGGGACCTACTTGCATCCAGGAGCCCCATGTTTGGAAGTGCCAGCTCCAACGCGTTGTATTCCAGATGTATAGGCTCCTTCTGTGTCCTTTTTTTGGCGGTGATGATGAGAATATCGGCACGGCTTGCTAGATCCTGATGACGGTGGCAACGGTGATGCTCGTTGTCGTTGTGAAGCGTGTCTCTTCTGCCAGGTTGATTCTGGTGAGCTACCACCCCCCCCCCTCTCTGTTGTGGTTGCCACCCATCGTTGTTCTTCATGATGGCTGAACCGGTCTCGTATGACTTGTCATGAGTATTCTCAGCTACCCCAGCAACCCTGCATAAATCGCGTTTTGAACCTCAACATAGACTTACATGCAAACGCTTGAGTGTGTGAATCTGAGGGCGCAGTGACAGGCCGTGAGGCTGCGATCCTGACATGCATGCATGTTTGTGTGTACATGCGCGTATCTGTGTGCATAATATATATATATATATATATATATATATACATGTGTATATGCATATGTACACAGACGTACATGTCTCTGTGTGCGCATGTGTTTGCTCGTCTGGTGAGATTGTTGGCTAAAGATGCTATTTCATGCTTTTAGACAGGCAGATCAATCGAAAGACGGAGAGGAAAGGGTACACCGGCTACAGTTGAAGTTCTCGATGCGGTGCACTCGATACGTTGCCTTGTTGAAGGTTCTTGCTCATTCGATCCTGTGGTCTTTTTTTGGTGGCAACATACCTAGCATACTGTAGCATGTCACAATATCATGGCAGATGCTTTGTTGCATGTGCACAATGCCGCGGAACGCTGAATTAGGTTCAACAGGTTACGAATTCCAAGTCTCGCACGACTTGTGCTGAGATTCTGGAATTCGCTCGGATTTGTCCGCGACGAAAGTCCAAATACCAAGGCGCAACATGGCTAGAGCTCTTGAGACGGTGAGCACGGCCTTGGCCTTGGCTGTCGGTCTGGCGGAATGGGTTCAGGTTTGGGGGGATTCG